AACGTACTTCAACCAAACTATACTCGAAATATGCCGATGAGTCAAAATTATCAAATTCGAGATCACCAACGAGTTCTGCATCAAGGAGTCCTCTAATTTTGACAGGAATAAATGTTCGAATCTAAACACACAACCAAAAATGACCAATACAAACCGAAAACAAAATGTTTTATTACGTTATGATGACAGTGACGACCAAACTGTCGACTTCAACTCAATTTAACGACAATACGTAAACGTTATTTTTCGTACGTTAACGTCTACACGTGGAGGTCTACGTACAGTGATTAGGTACTTTAACTCTCTATTATATAAACCAGATCATGCGATCTGAACGTGTACATGAATATAAATACACAACTTATGTACATCATATGAGTTCTCCAAACTCTTTATCCTGCCTCGTCAGCATATTCCAAAAATCCACATGCTATGGCGATGAGTACGGAAATACGGTGTATTGAATATTCATTGTTGAACATTTAATGGAACAATAATGGTTCAATAAAATAGCGGTACACATATCATTCTGACAGAAATATTGGAACTCCTCTACCTCTATAATGATTCATCGATTGATTTGAGAATATTAATAACCTATAGCTGACCTTACTGAGGAAACGGTCCTGACTGCAGCCTCATCAATCGAAGTGCACCATGCCATAAACAAACGACAGTCAGAGGTGTACGAATGTACAGTTATGACCGGAATCTGCATCAGATCGGAGGCATGAGGCATGCATTCAGGTCGAAAAATGCAAACGACGAGATTGATTTAGAGGCAGAACATTTGCATAAATTTTCCGCCGTGCCAATGCCGGTATCATTATTGAAATGGAAACAATTGTAATTGTTATTGCTAGGTCAAGAACTAGTTCACGATTCGTTCGTGGTTCCTATCTACTAGGTGACGTCTCTTTGAAAAGGACCCCGCACGAAAACATGGGAAATTGGCTCTCGGTCGAATTGGCTGAAATTTTACTATGTTGTTGTGAGATGGCTCATTAGGAAAATATGTGAGTTTGAAAAGTTTTGTATGTTTAGTTTCTGAGATATAAGCCGACAAAATTCTTAAAATCGTCGTATCGGGGTAGGATTGACAAAGGAAAAAACAGTTTTTTTAGTATAAATAAAACAGAATAAGCTAGAAAATGTATTGATCGGAACTCAAATACAAGTCTTGTTATGATCACATAAATTATAGTAAATCAGGGTAGGGTGTCTTCGAGGCACGGTCAAAAAATTCATTTTTCGGAAAAAAAATTCGAGCACTATTCCAAAACTAACAAGTTATATCTTGGTGAGACATTATAGTTTCAATCCATTGTAGGCTTCGAAAACGTATTTTCATTCTTGATAACTATCTCTGTTCGAAATATGAATTCATTGAATTTTGTGTTATACCCCTTTTGAAAAACAATGGACAGCTTGCTTTTGATAAAGGGATTGATTGATACTGTTGATTTATTGAAAGCTGGGATGACTCACTACCGAATTCAGTTGTTCAATATTGCTTTTCATTTAGATACAGGGTATGTTAGATTTTGTTGAAGATTATTTAAAATGTTTCAATTGAATATCTCGGAAACAGTTCCGTTAATTTGGACCTTCCTGAAATCACAGCCTGGGGAACCAACAACCTAGTTGAATTCAACGCCACCAAAACTCAAGCCTGTGTTTCCATCAGCAACACTCTTTCATGGGATAATCATGTCAGATCCATCGCAAGGGCTGCTTCACAAAAACTCGGATTCTTGTCCCGTGCGAAGAGCTATACTTTACACCTCAACAGCTTCTCATGATCTACAAAGCGCAGATATACGGCCTGTTCTAGAATACTGTTCCCACATATGGGGTTCAGCACCGAAACATACGCTGATGCTCTTAGATTCCATCCAGAGAAGAGCCATCTGCCTTGTGGGTGACGCCACACTCACTCGCTCTTTGACATCATTGGAACACCGTAGAAAGGTCGGCGACCTTCCACTTTCCTATCGATACTTCCACGGGAAATGTTCTTCGGAAATCTCTGCTATCATCCCTTCACTAGCAATACCAGTCAGACGAACTAGACAAGCCCAGTCAGCACATCCTTTCGTTGTCAACCTCGAAAGATGCCGAACAGCACTTTATCAAAATTCCTTCATCCATAGAACGGCTGGGCTCTAGAATTCATTGCCTGAGGAAGTATTCCCAACAACATATAATGTCCAGAAGTTCAAAAAGAATTCCAATACCTACCTCCTATCCCTAAACTCCCTAGGAACGCACGATGTTCTTTGAACATTATAGGGATTCCCTCTCGTGCGCTCCAAGCGATAAAAAATATGCTTCACATATTACGTAATATACTATTATCTCCTCGATACGGACTCCTGTACTGAGAAAAAATCGCAATCCTGATGACATGCCCAGGTAGCAGAGTGACGTGAAATATTTCCAGAGTTAGCTTATATATACAGTGTGTTACAATTTGGTCCACCCCACCTCTGTACTTTCGTGTTCCTTGGGCCATATAGAAATATTTCTTTCCACAGTATACTACTCAAACTAATGGACTCTTCCGAGCAATAAAACATTAACAATCACAATTTCTCAGTCTACTGCGATCACGAAAACTCCAACAAAATTTAAGAAAACATCCGGACTAGTCAAAATACTCCTATATCAATTTCCAAAACGATATCTCTTTTTTTCCTGTGACAAGAAAAAAGTCTTGCATTTCATGTCTGTTGGCAGGTTATGAAATGTCACTTTTTATAAATTACTTTTTTCCCGTGGAAAAAAGTGAGTACTTTGTTCCCGGATGCATTTAAACATTCCGGTATAGGATTCGGCACCTGCTTAAATTCTATTGGCCGATTTTGATTCATCTGACCAATTGAAGGCGGAGTGCCGAAATTCGTACCAGAATGTTGAGCGGTGCTGAAACACAGGTCGGAATGTTGATGAAATGAAAGCTCGAGCAGATAATGTGCAATGAACGCATTTTTCAATAACTTTAGAAATTTTCATTTATATTCATGATGATTATTTGGTATAAGAGTTTAAAATGAATGACTATATGTAATAAAATGAGATAATAAATTCGAAATAAAAATCATTAGAACACTTAATGTCTGTTTATGTCCTATTCCATGGGATGGGAGCGTTTGGTTGATTTCTCGCCACGTTACCTGCCAAACTGCGTCTTCGTCTTCTTCGAATACATTTCATGAGCAAATAAAGAAATATTTAAAAAACATGAAATTGTTACCTGTACAAGAGTTTTTCAATATTTGTAGGGCCTCATTTGAAACGCCATGATGTAAACGACTGAGCTTCATATTGCCAAAATTTCTGAAACTTTTATTGATCTTTCCATAATTAGTGATTTATGGTTTACTTCACTAATTGATGATTGCACTTAACTATAATAACAAGATTGCAGGTTTTTTGCTAGCATGTGGGAACGACGGTATAATCAAAAAATACGCAGGTTAGGTAAATGCGAGGGTGTAAACAAAAACCGCGCATAATGCAGTGAAACATTCCGACCTGCTTTTCAGCACCGCTCAACATTCTGGTACGGATCTCGGCACTTCGCCTTTAATTGGTCAGACAAATCAAAATCCGCCAATAGAATTTAAGCAGGTGCCGAATCCTATACCGGAATGTTTAAATGCTTCCCGGATATATATCAGATATATATACACTGTTGATGACTTTTGTTGTGCTATAGTTCCGAAAAATGAGTCAATGATACCGTCTCCCAGAAAGAACTGCAAGTTCTTTCATCTTCCATTCGACTTATCGGTTACGTATATTACTAAACAACCACTGAATTCGCAATTTTTTGAAATCAAATCACAGAATTATACCGACAGAAGTGACATCAGATATTTGATTATTTCAAAAGAATGATAAAGATGCTTACAACGCTGGTGTCCCTACTGTTAAAAACTCAAAATTTCACGTCGATAACTCTCAGATTTCAAAATAATGTGATATCTTCTCAATATTGATTCGTCCTTTCTTCTGTCACAGACAAAAATAGTGTATTATACACGGGAAAAATATTAGATTTTAGGTCACGGTTACACAACCTGTAGCTAAAATCTACTACTTTTTTCCCTTGCATAATAAATAACTATTATCAACGTCACAATTTTTGTATAGTTGCACTTTTCAAGTCACTGTGGATAATAATTCTTAGAATTTGAATGATGTCAGGCATTATGGCAGTCAGTATTAGATTATTTGGCAACATAGTGAGAGAAATGAATAATGGAATAAATTGAAATTCAGATTTTTAATCAAGAAATGAATAGAAACTGATGGATATCTATTGAAAAATAATATCAAAAATTAGACGAAGATCAAAACAGCAATTATTCCTAACAAAGTCAGATTTTTGTATTCTTGATCAAATCTCCGTCATTCTCTACACACATTTCATATCCTTTTCGTACGTTATTTCCAACTCTCCTCATTTCTTCTGGTTTTATCTGTCTGCGAACTGTTTATTCGTCACAACTTTTCTCTATTTCTTGATGCCAGAAGATATATGGAAAATGTATAGAGAATGAAGGAGATTTTATCGAAATTAAAAAAAATGTAACTTGTTCTTTGTCTCATTTTTGATGATACTTTTTGATAGGTATCATTTAGTTTTTTGTTTCTTGATGAATAAATGGAAATTGTCCTGTGATTTCATTAGTTTGTTATCTCACTGTGTAACCAGATGATCTAATCCTGACTACCATAATGCCTGCATGATATTATCAAAATTCTGAGGATTATTATATACGCGGTGAATTGAAAAGTGCAATTGTTCAAATATTGTAACTTCGATAAAAAACGCACATCGTATGAGATATCCTCCTGAAAATTGATATAGAAGTATATGCAAAAACTACCTGATATCTCAATTGGAAACTTGTCATGTTTATACATGAACTCGTATTGATCTTCCATTTGGCTATATGAACCTATCCTCATGTTGTTTCTGATTGTTTCAGAGAAATCCGAGGCTCTCGAGTCAGGATGACTCCCAAGTCTGAAGAACATTCGAAAATATATCCAGTACCGTATAGTGATGGAACTATGAGGGTAAGATGGTAGATTCAATATTTGATATACACGGAATGAATTAATTTTGAGTCATGGAAACCTTCCATCCTTCTCAAAGTGGTCCAACCTCTCTTCCTTGTTGGCAGAAACTTTCATGCACAATTTAGAAAAACAATATTCAAATAATTCCACTAACAATTCAAATTTAAGATCTTATGATAGATATGTTGATGATTGTTTGTTATTGTTCGAGGTTTTTCCTAATGATGTTTCCAATTTTTCAAACTATATCGACTCCCTTTATCCAAATATTACTTTCACTAGTGAATCTGAAGTTGACGATTCCCTGCATTTTCTGGAATTACCTACTCATTCTGAAAATCATTGACACCCATATAAATTGACTTTGATATTCACAGAAAAACCACCCACCTTCACCAAAACTTGCTTCATACAATTGTTTTTTTCATAGAGTTTCTTTCATTGCCTCTATCTGATTCGGCATCCAATAAGGAGAATAACACTCTCAAACAAATAGCTATTAATAATCAGTTTCCCTTGGATCATATCATGAGGATTTATTTCAAATTTCACACCCGTTTTGGATTAATTTTCAATGTCACATTTTCTCAAGTTCCTGATCCTCCGGTAGATATAATTCCTCAGACAAAGAGGTCTGGTGTATACAGATTGAATTGTAATGATTGCAACTCTTTTATATATATAGGCCAGACAGGTAGAAGCTTCGGAACTCGTGCCTCGGAACATAACAGACTCATTCACAAATTTCGAAATTTAGATAATCATACTACCTCATCCTTTGCAAATCATATTATTGATTCCAACCATTCTTTTGATGTCAATTCCAATATGGATATTCTTCATGTTTCTAATAAAAGTCCACGGCTGAACCTTCTTGAAATTTTAGGAATTCAAAAATGTATTAACAACCCTAATGTCACTCGTCTCAATGACCAAACCAATTTTGAACGTAACCATATTTTCCGCACATTAGTAATTTTAGCTCGTTATACTTTACCGGTTATAATAATTATTCCCTCTAATATCTTCTTATTTTGATTTTGGCGGTATTCCTACCACGGATTACTTCTTCTCCTTTTATCTGATTCATCAAGTTGCAACCTGATCACGTGTTCCTCATCTTCTGATCTTAACATTTTACAATTATTATATTATCCACCTGTTATCATTCTATCTACAATGATATATCATTGTTCAATATTAGTTAGTTCATATTCTTTGCTTTTGGCTGTTGTCATAAATGACCACCAGTGATGATGAAACTCTTGTTGAGTGAATTTGGATTTATATAATTTCAAATTCCAATTTCCTGCTCTCACCAATGTTAATTGCATTATTGATTTGTTCTTTTGGCTGTTTAGTCGATTTAAAGCACAACATACTCAATTACCTGCCTGATTTTCTGGTTTTTGACCTAGTTTTTAGTTAAACTTATCCCCACATGTCTGCTTAGGTAACTTTTTTCCTCATTAGTTCATTGTCTATTTGTATTTTCATAATCTTTACAGATATTTTGTGTGTCTGAAGATGGCCGTTGAGCCACACAAACTGGATTTGGTGATATAATTTTTGTGATCGACCGACTTTGTGTTATACTGGTTTTTCCTTGATTCAATTTCGGTTCATATTCAGATACGCGAATTTGAATTATTTTGATGTTTGTTCTCCTTTATTAGTGATTCACTCTCCTTCACCAATACCACTTCATTTCATAATATGTCAACCTCTCCATTATAGTAAGTAGTTTCATTTGGCCTCACGCGGTATTCAAATTGATTATATCTATGTAAATATCTTTTGGTAACATATTATTTATTCATCCTCTTTGAATCCAAAGATGTCTAGAAACGGATTTTGAGTAACCAGTAGCTGATAACGTAATTATTCTTTTGTTTGTACTGTACACATGTGGGTACACAAACAAGCACTTTAGCTTAAATGTCATTGAATTAATGATAATTTGGTACCATATGAGATTGTTCACCAGATTTAAATGAAGTATCATGTCCATGTCCAAAATCGTTTCAACGTACTCGAACCTACGCATTATTATAATAAAAAGCATTGTATACAGGTACCTACTGAGTCATGTCATACATAATGAAATTATTTGTTGTAATGTCATTGCTGTATCGTGATTCTCAATAGAGATGGGAACATAATAGGCATCAGCAACAAAAAGAATCTTCTTTTTTATAAATCTCCATCTAGATATAGAATCGGTTTTCGTTCATCACCTTGTACAGTGTGTCCAGTTTTCGATGCTTTTGCCTGATATCTCAGTTATCTTTGGAGATAGAACCTTGCGGTTTTCGCGGTCCTGTGCCACTTTTTTGTGAAACTCAAGATGGCCTAATCATATTTTGCAAAACTGTTTCCGTTCATGAGATACAGGGCGATTTTGAAAATTTATACTTTTTGGACCCCCTCTATATCCACGAAGTTTCTCAACAAAACTGTCAAATCAAAATCATATCGCATAGAGAATTTTACGCATAATCCAGTGGCGCACTCAAATTTTTTTTTCGGGGTATGGTTTTGGAGATACGACTCAAACTTATGATTTTTTAAATGGAACACCCTGTTTTTCATAAGCTCATTAAATTCCTTATTTTTTTGTCTTCAAAATGATATATAAAGAATGAATATAAAATTCTAAAAATTGCTCAAAATCACTAAAATATTGAATTTTGATAGTTGGTTATGGATTTTTCTTATGAAAAACGTTCCAATTGAAGAAATATTTCTTTAAATTTTTCCATGGAGAGGTCAAAACCAATATCAAAACACTCATTAATTAACAAAACACTAAACTTGGGTCCTACCTGATAGCAACAAATAAATAGTAATATAAAGTTCATAATGTAGAATAAGCACCTGATTAAATATTTACTAAAATAATTGAATTCCGAAATTATTCAGTAACTTATTCATTGACATGTTCAATTTGATATCCATTTTCCCCAACATACAGTTGACAAACTCTCTCAATATTTCTTAATACAGTGAGTGGCCCAACATACTTGAAGAACTTTGTGCAACAATAGAGGCAGTTTTCCAGGAATTACAAAGACATCTCTCAATAATTAATATGTATTGAGAAAGTTTGTGATGAAGAATGGACATCAAATTGAACAATTCAATGAATAAATCACTGAATAATTTCGAAATTCAATTGTTTCAGTAAATATTCAATCAGGTGCTTATTCTACATTATAAACTTTTCATTATTATATATTTGTGGATATCAGGTATCTGAGTCTCGTGTATTGCAAGTTAATTAGTGTTGAAATTGTTATTTCCCCCTTCATGGAACAATCAAAGGAAATTTTCCTCCAATTGTACATTTCTTTATATGAAAATCCCTCGAAAAACCCATAGCCCACTATTGAAATTCAATGTTTTAGTGATTTTTTAACATTTTTGAAGATGTTATATTCATACATCATATATCATTTCGAAGGTAAAAAAATAAGGAATTCAATGAGCCTATAAAATACAGGGTGTTCAATTTAAAAAATCATAAGTTTGTGTCGTATTTTCAAAACCACACCCCGAAAAACAAAATTTTGTGCACCACTGAATTCTGCATAGAATTCTCTATGGGTTGAGATTTCAATTTGACATTTTCGCTGATAAACTTCGTAGATATAGAGGGGTCCAAAAAGTATAAATTTTCAAAATCGCCCTGTATCTCATAAACGGAAACAGTCCTGCAAAATCTGATTAGGCCATCTTGAGTTTTACAGAAAAGTGGCACAGGATCGCGGAAACCGCAAGGTTCTATCTCCAAAGATAACTGAGATATCATGCAAAAGCATCGAAAACTGGACACACTGTACAGTACATCACCAACACAGTAGCTTCATCAGCTGATATACTGGTACAATGAACTAAACGAACCTTGGCTTACCTAACTTTTATATATCCTACTTTCCCAACTTGAAGGATAATTTACCTGTGGACAGGTTCAATAAACCTTCATTTTCGGAAATTAGGAACAATATCAACATTGAAATATGGTGTAGGTACCGGATTTACTTGAGAGGGTATCAACCCTCCAATATATATTATTACCTACTAAGAAAACAAATTCACACAAAGTGGTGAACTATTTAGGTTTAGTTGATCGTCAGGTAAAATGTCAGGATTTTTTAGTTTGTTGATTTCTAAGGATTTAAAATGATTGAGTCTTATTCTACACTACACTATACTACTCGTAGGAAATGAAGGAATCAAACTCAATCAACTGATAAATTCTGACATTTTACCCAACGATCAACTGGACCTCAATAATTCACCATTGTTGAATTGGGACCCGAGATGATGGTTCTTGGTAAATATTCCCGAAATCCTCTGTGATAAGATAACGGAATTTTGTACATGTATATTACTTTTCCGCACGATTGTTGAAAATAAGGATATTTACGACTAACTAAATGATCCATGTAAGTGTTCTGTCAGGTTCTCTCTTATGTGTCATTTTGTAGCATCATCATGAAATATTGTTTATTGAATTTCTTTTTGTTTTTTTGATGAATAATATGGACAAAAACACTCGTAGGAAAAACTGTCTCCCTAACTCTTGGGGAAAATGTCTTCTTCGCACTTGACAACTGCTGTCGCGTGCGAAAAGGTATTACTTTCTGCACTTGTTAGGTAAATAACTATTACCGATTTGGAAATGTTCAGAATTTCCCGAAGCTCTGATCAGGGACCTGGAAAGTAGGTGGGGCTAGGCACATTTCTTTCAGCAACTCTTTTTATGCAATTTTTGGCAGTTTGACCAGGAAAGATGGATACATCTTCATTTTTGAGTAGAAATGATACTGCTTAGTTTAAATAGCACTCACTATTTTTGAGATGAATCGATTTTGAAGGTACTACTGGTACTGGTACTGGTGGGGGACGTTTCCACGTCAGCAACTAGTCCCTAATGGGACCTTTTTGCAAACCCCAAGTGTTTTCAATGACTGATGTGGTTCGCTCAAGAGAGCTGGGCTAACATCCTTTTCAGGCACCGCCCATCAGCTCTCTTTCAGAGTTTTTCGGCTGTGTTTTGTAGGCTAGTAATGTACTCACTACCATATGCGCAGTGGCAGGCCTGCTAACTATCCTCGTTAACCCCCGAGACCGAGGTCTACTAAGCAGCTGGCCCGCTCTCACGCTCAGCTGGTAGTTTTCCACACCCACCTACATACACCGTCCTACTTCTTCTCTCATGCTCACAACCACATCATCATATCTTTCTGCGTGTTCTGTGTAGGCTTTGTTACTAACTCCATGCGCCACTTTAGGAGCAGCACTGTTAATTGGAACGCAACAGAGCGAATCGTGCAGGAGTATCCCCAGATTTTGAAGGTAACAAAAATATTGCTTTTTTCCATGATACGGTACCAAATTTTACGAAAAATCATCTTTTGGATGGAAAATACCCAAATATGGGAGAAACAATGATGAAAATAGATTGAAAAATATTATGATAGGTAAGAAAACGTACTATCATTATTACACAGCAGACTTTTAAAATCGACTCATCTCGAAAATGGTAAGTACTATCAAAACTTAACAGGAGTATTATTTTTACGTGAAAATTATGAAATTTTTATATTTTATGGTCAAACTGCCAAAAATTGAAGAAAAATTGGGGGAAAGAAATGTTCCTAGCCCCACCTCTTTCACACGCCCCTATAATAACAATTTTGGAAAACTATTAACATTCTCAAATCGGACATGAAAAGTAGTATACATCTACAAAGTTTTGTTTTCTCATCGCATTCGTCGCACATGCGTTGAAATGTCAAACAACGTCGATGAATTATCACGAAAACATCACAATACCCTCTCTGAAGCGTCACGCTCACATATTTCCCAACTTTTTTCGACGTTTTTAGACGTTTCTACGCATGCATAACACTAGGGTTACATTTTGCTATAGACTTTCCGACGTTTTTCAACGGTTCAACGTATGCCTTTTTGACCTTTTCGGGATGGGTGGTTGGGATAGGAGTCGTATGCACTAGTTCTTGCAATTCTTCAAATTAACATTTATATATAGCCTCGTACATTCGAACTCATGATAGTCCTGGAGATGTCCTGTATTTTCTTCTGGGCTACCGTTGATTGATCGTGAAAATGTCAAGCTTCTTTGCATTCTTACAATGAAACATTGAAATGGTTTTTCTTCCTCAGGAAAAACAGCGCCCGCCAATATACAATCCCGAAGATTACGCCATTTGGTTGAAGAAATGGGGAAAGAAATCGGCGAACGGTGCAATATCCCTCTATACAGCCTCTTCCATGTCTGACCTGATGGAGCTGAGCCATCCCCAGATAAATTCTTACAAGGACTACAGGAACCCGATGATGAGTTCGTCTGGGATGGAGATGACGTTGCGACAATTTGGATCAGCGTCAGAGCTGCTGACGAAGCTGAGGTCGGATCTGAGATTAGCGTATCCCAGGTGAGATTAATTATGGAAGTGTTCAACCTGTCGACTTTTCGCATGAAAAACCAAACTAGATGAAAGAATACATAGTAATAAATTGTGTAGTACTTCCGAAGATATATTGAATGATAAGTTTACATGGAACTTCTGTAATTCATTGAACAACATTGGCTTTCTGTGAGGTAAAAAACACTGGAGGTGTCGATGACTTCTGTAAGAATAATTATGGGTTTTCGAAATATCGATCGTTTGCATGAAATAGGAAACGAAATGAATTAATACACGGAAAAAACCAACAAAATAATGTTTGTCATTTTTTTTATGAATTGAACACAATTTTACGAAATCAACACAATATATGTTCATTCCAAATAAGCAACCTATTCAAAGAGACAGTGAAATATCTGCTTACTCGAACAAAAGTTTCATTTCATTCAACAACATTCATAGTTGACATAAAACAAATTCTGTTGATCCAACTATTATCTCATTGTTCAATCAATCATATGCATTTTGTCTATTCGACAAAATTGAATTAATTTCAACAAGAATTTAACTAAAACAACATCATATTTTGTAGAGCCAACAATTATTTAATTGTGCAACCAATCAAAGGTTTTTTTTTATTCGACAAAATTGAATTGATTATGACAACATTATATTTTGTTGATTCTACACATCACTATTAAGAAATATATTGGAGTGGAGGGCAATGAACAAACAGACGCTCTGGCACGACAAGGGGCTTCAACGCCACTGATCGGACCAGAGCCATTCTGCGGCCTTGGAAATTCCTATTTCCAAGGAGAACTTGAGAAGGCGGAGAGCCAGACAATGGGGAAGACTTCTTGGACTACGTCAGGCTAAAGATCTCCTTGAAAATTTCAACCGAGAAAGATCTAAGTCACTGACAAACCTCAGCAAAGGAAGTCTCGAAGTAATAACGGGATTTCTAACGGGGCATTGCAGACTCAAAGAACACCTAAGGAAGCTAGGCTTTCAGGAGGACGGCACCTGCAGATTCTGTGAGGAAGAACCAGAAACACCCCATCACATACTGATGGAGTGTGACGCTGTACATCACAAAAGATTGAACATACTGGGAACACACCAGCTGACTGTGGAAGAAATACCACAGCTAGACCCCCTTAAAATCGTCAAATTCCTGAAGGAATTGAATCTCGAGGGGCTGCTATGAACAAGAAATCCTTGATATAGCAGAAGCAGATGGAGCACAATAGATCTAATTGGGTCGCAGCGCATCTGTCACCATCCAACCTACCAATACCAATACCAAATTAAGAAATATTCTATTATTTTGAACAAACTATTTTGTTGAACAGAACCCACAGATACATCAAATCAAACAAATATTGTTTTGAATTATTATCTAGTTGCATGTTTGCCACCAGGTGGCGTTTCTCCCAACCTTCCTACGCTCGCCTCGATTGGAGTGTATACATATACCTACCTAGAACATCCGTGTATATAAATATATTAAGCTGTCCTAGAATTCCTTGTCTAGAAGTCTTGAATCAGTTGAATCAACTGATTAAATTGATCTCGAATTTCTCTTGGTTTTAAAATTCAGTTATTGGATTTTTTCAGAACATAATCTGTTCATAAAAACATATATTGTGTTATAGGAACGAAATAGTCATTGTTTATTCAACCAATTCCTGCTGTTAATTTGAATCATTGATGAGTTACATCAAACGAATTTGGATTGAGAACTGACAAAAAACATTTGTTGCAGTGACAAAATATTTTGTCGTGGATATATGACACTCAAATTTTGTTGAATGGAGTGAAGTGCAGGATTATTGATGAAGAATGAGTCAAGTACGTTGGCTGAATGATTATTGATATCTGGAATTCACCTGGGTCCCTTGATAAGCTCCACTGAGCCGTAAGTGATAGTGAAATCTTCGGATTGTCGATCAGCTTCATCTGTTTTGTTGGAGTGTACGAGCCAACCAGCATTGTTAACATTGAAATCATCACCCATGTTCTAGTTCTTCTGAGAATGGATCTTTTGATGATGAATGAAGACGACATATATAATTGGTCTGTCTCTGGCTATCGAGTTCGAACCACATAACATCAAACTTTGGTTCCAAAGTTTTTCTTGGTGATATGAGGGATTTATTCAAGAATTGGGGCAAAGTCTCTCGTTCAAGCTGAAACCTGAAATCTGTTCAAAGCACTTCATTAGAAGCAGTCATAGTGGCGCCATTTTCAAAATAGCGATGATTCTCTGTGAGACCATGGACTATATATTTACTCATGATAATTCAGGAAGAGCGTTCATCAATTCTGGTGAATATATAATCTATCGATAAGTACCTGATATAGGAAGGAATGCACAGTATGATTTGTACATTGTTGAAAATATTTAACGAGGAAGTTTTCTTCGCGATGGACACAAAAGGTATCATTAGATACATTATGAACCGTTTGATCAATTACATATCTCCAGCGATATCTCTGTGCAGAAAATTGAGTTATAATGGAATAATGCAGTATCAATTCCTATATATACCCATTTCTCTGTAAGATTCGTTAGGCCTGATGGACTCAAATATGATGAATTTCAGATAAAAATGATACTGAATTGTTTCGAGCAGCATTCATTTATTCAATGCAATGAATCAACTGTATAACTCTAGAATTGATTCAATAGGTAGAAGTATTAAATTAAATTCCTACTGTTTTGTTTTAATATAAAACCAGTTCTCTTTGACAATGATTATTAACCATTAATTATATACATTCTGATGCGCAAGTATTAAAGAAATGTTCTTGATTATGTACAACAAATTACTTGAGGAGAATATGTTATGGATGATGGCATGTTGAGATGTTAATCGCCACTCTACGGGGAGCACCGAGATATAAATTATATAGGGTTTATATTTCAATTAGTTGGCAAAAACCAGACTACGAGATGCATCGTCAAGCATGCGGTTAATTAGATTCTTTCAAAGGGATCCAGAGGACGAACAGATGAAAAAATATTGCTAATAAACTACTCCACCTGAACATTGATGCTTCTCGACTGGAATTTGAATGAGATTATTTGATTATATATATATCGGAGAATTATGATTTTTTTTTATCGCTTGGAGCGCACGAAAGGGAATCCCTATAATGTTCAAAGAACATCGTGCGTTCCTAGGGAGGATAGGGACAGGAGGTAGGTATTGGAATTTTTTTGAACTTATGGAGATTATATGTTGTTGGGAATACTTCCACAGGCAATGAATTCCAGAGCCTAGCCGTTCTATGGATGAAGGAGTCTTGATAAAGTGCTGTTCGACATTTTTCGAGGTTGACAACGAAAGGATGTGCTGACTGGGCTTGTCTAGTTCGTCTGATTGGTATTGCTAGTGAAGGGATGATAGCAGAGATTTCCGAAGAACATTTCCCGTGGAAGTATCGATAGAAAAGTGAGAGGTCGCCGACCTTTCTACGGTGTTCCAATGATGTCAAAGAGTGAGTGAGTGTGGCGTCACATACCAGGCGAATGGCTCTTCTCTGGATGGAATCTAAGAGCATCAGGGTATGTTTTGGTGCTGAACCCCATATGTGGGAACAGTATTCTAGAACAGGCCGTATCTGCGCTTTGTAGATCATGGGAAGCTGTTGTGGTGTCAAGTAGCTTTTCGCACGGAACAAGAATCCGAGTTTTTGTGAAGCAGCTTTTGCGATGGATCTGACATGATTATCCCATGAAAGAGTGTTGCTGATGGAAATACCGAGCATAGACATGGTGGGCTTGGTGGGGATGGTCGAGCCAGACATTACAATATCGGGCATACTGAGTTCCGCCTCTCTAGAGAAAATGCAGGCTTGAGTTTTGGTGGCGTTGAATTCAACTAGGTTGTTTGTTCCCCAGGCTGTGATTTCTGCAAGATCTTCATTGACAGCATTGACCTGCCTGCGCCGTGAGTTCTTAGTTTCCTGGGAAGAAATGGGAATTCTGGAAGAGAACGCAGTATGGATCGAGGGTACTATCATCTGCAAAGCTGTGGATGGGGCAAGTTGTTACTCCCAACAGATCATTGATATGAAGCAGGAATAATGTTGGTGCCAAAATTGATCCTTGTGGAACGCCGGAATTGATGCCAATGGTATCAGACGATACACCGTCGACCACCACGTGAAGCGATCTGCCTGAAAGAAAACTCGATAAGAGATGGCATAGCTGAGGTGGTAAGCCGTATGATGGTAGTTTGTGGAGGAGTCCTTCGTGCCAAACACGGTCGAATGCTTTCGATATGTCCAACGCGACAGCTAGAGATTCCCCGTGTTTTTCTATTGGAGATTGCCATAAATGGGTGACGTAGGCAAGTAGATCTCCAGTAGATCTTCGGTGGCGAAAGCCGTATTGTCTATCATTGATGATTCCTGAGCTCTCCAGATATTTGATGAGCTCAATATTGATGGCTTTCTCCATCACTTTGGAGATTACTGATAACAGGGCAATGGGCCTGTAGTTGTTGGGCAGGTTCTTGTTCCCTTTTTTGGGGATTGGTTGGACTCTAGCTGTCTTCCAGCATGATGGAAAAATACCCCGAATGCAGAATGAACCCCATTTTAGTTAGATTTTGAACAGCCAATAATGTGATTCATCTTGAACCAATAGTGGTATATCATCATTCGAACAATGATCTCCGAGATGATCTCTATCATCTCATTGATTCCACAATCATCAAATTAATTAGAGGAAATGAGCTTAACCCAGATATGCCTACCGTTCTTCTATAAGGACACTGCGTAAAAAGATTTCCACTGCGTAATTAGGGTATCTTCGCGGATTTTCTCATGGATGGCACTAGACATATCAAATGAAAGAACATTCGTTATAGAATATTATCTACACAGCTTATCGTCAATACGTGAACACAAATGGAAATTGAGTATTCTATCCAAGTTGGCTAAGCAGATTGATGTCAATTTGATTATTGATTTTGTGTTGAAATGATAGTCTTCTGTAAACATTTTTGTTGTGAAAAAAATGTCAATGCATCGTGTGTTTTGAAACTGCATCTCACAACCCAAGTAGTTGAATAATATTCCCCATACGATTTCATGTTCAGGATGGTCTTTATGTCCTCTCATATTATATTCAAAATATTGAAATAATTCAAACTTTTATTTAAGGAAATGTCACCCAATTGCATACTGTACTTTCGAAAGGACACCGTATCTTTGAAAACCCCAGCCCAGACTCCAGCTTTTTCATTTTTTCCAATGTTCATTTGTTATTGTTTCAGAATACTAAACTAGTTTTACACAACAAAACTCAAAATTTCAAACGAAATATTTTCAGGCATATCTGAATTAATTGAGAACCTTGACCATATATTTCAATATTGCATCAGTCCATTCCAACCACTCTTTGATAAACAAAAAAATTATAATATATCCAGGATATATATTTGATAATGATCCCACATTATTGTCTGAACTTAAGAACTCTCGTTTCATTATCATGTATTTCTCAATATAATGAGTGGTCATGATCCTATATTGTAACAATGATTCATCTGATTCACATGAAGTAGCTATCAATATTGCTCCTCTGAAAAAATGAGAAAAATAGTTATTTATTATACAAGGGAAAAAAGTTGTAGAATTTAGCTCCAGGTTGTCTCGGTTGTGTGTCTCCCGACGCGTAGCGGAGGGACACAAGAAACCGTGAGATGAAATCTGATATTTTTCCCGTGTATAATACACTATTTTTCTGTGACAGAAGAAAGGAAGGATCAATATTGGGAAGATATAACATTATTTTGAAATCTGAAAATTATCGACATGAAATTTTAAGTTTATAACAGTAGGGACACCTGCGTTGTAGACATCTTTATCATTCTTTTGAAGTAATCAGATATCTGATGTCACTTCTGTCAGTCTAATTCTGTGAATTGATTTAAAGGAATTGCGAATTTGGTGGTTGTTTAGTAATATACCTAACCGCGAAGTCGAATGGAAGATAAAAGGAATTGCAATTCTTTCTCGGAGACGGTCTAATTGACTCATTTTTCGGTACTTTAGCACAACAAAAGCCATCAACAGATGTATTTACATGCGATATATATCCGGGCAAAAAGTACTCACTTTTTTCCCACGGGAAAACAGTAATTCATGAAAAGTGACATTTTATAGCCTGCCAACAGAGATGAAACTTTTTTCCCGTCACAGAAAAAAACAGTTTTTTCATAGTAAATAAAAATTATTAGTAAGGTTAGGTTAGTGTGACTATGGCATTTCGTGCGTCAAATGTACCCAAATATAAAAATAATAATAATAATATTCATTCGCTATTTCCTATTTATAACATTTCAAAATATACATATACAAAAGAAGTGGATTCAGTGAGGAACTCATTTGAGTTCACTTGAGACCTTGTCTATGTATTGAAAATAAGAATGAAACTTCGGTGACATATATAAGAAACAAGCAATATGATCAAAATACAATACAATACGATACAATACAATTGGTTTCGATGAAGTAAGGGTATAATATCAATAATAATTGGAGAAATTCGTTTTTTTCATCTTATTTCTTCAATTTATGCCAACCATAACGTAACATAAAGTGAGAAGCAAAAAATTTTATAAAATCTAATCGGACATGAGCATGGCACGACATACCACAGACCTATGATATGTATAAGTAAACATAGAATTTATAATCATGAATGTGCAGGTAGAATCGACTGTGAATAGGGCGTAAATCAGATCATTGATCCATTATATTCATAAATATAGCTTTGTCGGCGCCGAGGATCCATATTTTCAATTCTTCTCAAGTCATCATGAATTATTTTCATAAAAAACAATGGTCGGAGAGGTGAACTATTCGGATTTTGATAATCACTAACCTATTACCTACCGAAGTTTTATGAAACGTGGGCATGAAATGATCCAATAAAACTACATTTTCAAATTCGCAAAATCATGTTCTACACGGGTTTCTTATGGAAAATCGTATTGCGGTTTACATGTTTTCCACACGGACCCCTGGCGCCGCGTAGTGAGTAGAAAGGCAGACTGTTAGTAATAAGGTCCATTGTTTGACTGATTGAGTCCGCATCCACCATGAAGCATCAACTTATCGAAGTTCACTGTCAGAAGGATGAGTTCATACACCTCCAGCACATAAAATTATTGAATTACAATTGTAAATGAGCATAAGTTTACCCAAGATCTCGAGTAGTGTATTTTTCATATTGTTTGAATAATAAGGTGCTCAAATTCAATTCTATGAAAACCAATTCATTGCGAGTAATTTGACGGGGCACTATTTATTCTTCTCACTGTAGTTGATTATTATAGCTAATTGCATGACGTGAAGAGTGTTAGATAATCATTCGAATAATTAGCAGAGTGAGGTGTGAGTTCAAATATTCATAGCTTAGGCTCCTAACAGGAGATAATTATATTGTGTCAATGAGAAATGGAAATAGAGATCATATTATAATTATTTCACCTACCAACCTGTAAATTAATGTATTATCAAACACTACAACACTAAAATGAGTTTAGTTATGGAGTACTTCACCGCGCCGGTGCGATGTGGTGAAAAAATATTAAATACTGTCTGTAGGTTAATCAAGGAGGTGGTATATTCATTATTCCAGATTTTTTGGGATTTTCTCTCCTCGTTTCTGTAAAATAAAAATGAGGATATTCCAATATGCGTGTAGTGAAGAGAAATCAGATGATTTGCCCCAAAATGTCACTGCGTTTAGTTCTCAGTTCCCTCTTGCAATCCCATACCAGTCGAGATGTCACTTCCTGGCTTTCTATTGCCGCTTGACTGTTTGACATAATACGGATCTGCTCGTTTCCCATAGGTCTCCTGTTATTTTCTTCCGCACATTGGAGAATTGCGTATACCTCTGCTTGATAAACTGGAGCATTCTTCCTCAATGAGTAGCTGAGGCTAGTTTCCGGATGTTTGGAGTATACTGCTGCTCCTGACCCTTTCGCAGTCTTGGACCCGTCTGTATACCAGATCTTTCCCTGCAGTATGGTGCTGAGTTCTCCGTCATTTCATTCAGATCTGTCTGGTATGGACACTCTGAATGAAGTGTCAAATATATATCGTTTCGAAATGTGATCTGTTCTCATATTAAGTATGTCCCTATTCACTATTCTGATGATGCTCATATGTCCTGTTCCTATGTTAACATTGCCCAGTGTACTTTGCAGTCTTAGTGCACCAAGTCTCGCCTCTCCCTGTACCATCAAGTGGAGGGAAGGCAGATCCAGTAGTGTTTCCATGGCTGCGGTTGGCGTTGACTTCATAGCCCCCGTGATTCCTAGACATGCAAGTCTTTGTATCTTGCTCAGTCTTGTTATGGCTCCTCTTCGTAGTGTCTCCTGCCACCATACTAAAGAGGCATATGTTATGGAAGGCATCACCACCCTGTTATACAACCAGTACAGCATGTTTGGTCTCAGTCCCCATTTCTTCCTTCAAGAGCGTCTAGTCATCATCAGTGACGTTACCGCTTTTTTAGTTGTCTTTTCCAGTTGTTGATTCCAAGTTAATCCCGGATCTAATATCACCCCGAGGTATTTGACCTCTTCTTTCAACTGGATTGTTTCGCCTCGAAGTTTAAGAGGACCTAATCTCTCTAGTATATGTCTTCGTGTGAATGCTACCATGGTGGCCTTGTGAGGACTGATATTCAGCCCTTCTTGATCCGTCCATTCCGTTACCAATTCCAGAGCCTCTGTCATACGATCTCTGACTGTGGTATTATACTTTCCTTGTGCCAAGATTACTATGCCGTCTGCGTATCCAAGGACTCTATGTCCACTGTCATCCTCTGGTCGCCCTGGCCTCTACGGTCTCTCCCATCACAGTGATGTATATCGTTCTGTTTCTTAACATTGAGTCTATAGGTTAATATGGATATGATATCAATAATTCCGTCATAAACACAAAAAATACGTTTCTACCGACATACTTTCATGATCGGAATTTATGTCGATAACATTCATCCATGATATCATTAAATATTCGAATCGTAATGAATATTTACGATAATATAGTATCGCAAAGACTTGAGGAGTTCTTATATACAGGGTGGCATTGAAATGAGTGCAAATATTTCAAACCCTGGGAAAGCTCGCGACGAATACTATTGAACAGCACCAATAAACCATGTACGAGTCAAACTAAAATTTGAGGATTCACTATTTTTTTCACACAATTTTCCACAATATAGCAATTTTGACGACATTTCTGTTCAAATTTCCATGCGGAAGGCACAATCACGCGGAGCCCGATCATTGCTTGATTTTTCGTTTTTTGTTCAATTTTCGTGATGGAATTCCTTGTTAATCATGAAGATTTGAGAAAATCTGATATAATGTGAACATTTGTTGAACTGTATTGATGTGTTGAATACATGGTGTTTCGAAATTCAACCGGCAACGTCCTCATGATTTCATAATTACTAAGATATGGATATACGTTGTTTAAGTATTCAGTACTGGAAATACAGGGTGTGGGAGTTGATAACTAGAAATAGTTTCTCCGCAATAACTCTGGTCATCGAATATTTTGCATTTGCAATTTGGTATAAGTACATGGTTTTATATTCGAATGGGTGATTTTTTGACCGGGATGTCATCCTGGACATTTTGTCCGGTGGAGCGCAGTAAGGGTTTGTGGTAACTTTTCCTGCAATATTTTCTACGCCACTGATGAAATTCCGATTCTTCCTGATATCTCTGATTCACTGTTTGATTCTGATGGAGAAATGTATCACTTATAATTGAGCCAAAATCAACAGTATTCGAGAAAATCGACACAAAATAAAATATTGCATAGTAATTCTCCATCATTTTCCGTAGTAAAAACCCACAAAATTATTTTTCTGGTGGCAAGTGAACTATATACTTTTAGAAATAATTCTCTAACTGAACAGAATTTGTCATTGCATGCAGAAAGAAAAAAACAAACATTCAGTAATCTAGTCGCATGTCAAAACGAAAACATGACAATGATTTTGACACTCTGAAAAATCGGGCTCTAAATTTCCCATTCCTCTTTGCGCGTGTATTAACGAAACCATACAAGATGGCCTCGTGTCAACCATGCGGTCCTTTGCCCAGCAGTCGCCAATCAAGATCGAAAATAACATGTCCCCCATGTCCTTGTCCTCCTTGCACACTCCCAGTCATAGCAGACAGCTTACCGAAGTACCAGGTAAACCCTTGTGACCCCAATAAACAGCTTGATAATAACTGCTGCAATGTTTGCGTACCAATACAACCACCAAGGATGCCTGAACCTCCAAAAAAACCCAAGAAGAAGTGTAAGTACATCCAACCGCCCAGACCAAAGTCTTACGCACCTGAGCGGAAGTTCATACCACCAGAAATGAAAATGGAGGAGAACACCATCTACAGGAAATCTTACATTCCTGTGGATGCAGAGAAACCTGATAAAATCGTGCCTGAGAACAATCTCTGTGTTGGCGAGGGCAAGATATCAGATAACACAGTCAACAAGATGTCTTATCAACCGCATAAAGTTAAACCAGCATGTCCTATCTACCCTTGCGAGCACAAGCTGATCGGAGAAGGTCCCATGCAAGATATAACAACGCAGAAGCACGACTATGTACCCAAGCCCTTCGTCAGATCGAACCCAATAAGACCCTTCACCAATTTATACACATCTGACTGTCCGCTCAGCGACAAAACGGTGAACAGATTATCTTACCTACCAGTGGACTTAGAGAAGTCCAAGGTGACTGCGATACATCCCACGAATGCCATAGCTCCTGCGACGGGTAAAATCAGCGATAAGACCGTGCAGAAGATGTCTTATCAACCTTGGAAGCCTACAGAGCCTATGGATATGCCTTGGGCGCACAAACCTAAGTTCGTGCCTCCGAAGCTCAGGATGGATGATAATACAGTGCACAAAATGAGCTATGGGCCACCTGGGGAGTATGTTGAGTGTGCTGATGATGATCCTGATTGTGTAGACTGTCCTGAGCCACCGTGTGAAGTACCGAAACCATGCACTGGCCCAGCACAGTGCTGTATGCCTTGTTGTTGTCCTAGAGCAGCGTGCTAATGTCTGGTTGTGGTTTTTTTTCTGTGATAAATTTGAAGAGTGGAAAATGATGTCATATGTTTTTGTACTGTTTTTGTATACTTTTGTTTACACTTATACAATACAATGCGTGTACTGTACTGGCTACAATTATATTTTGTATCTACTTCTCCATGTTTCTCTTCGTCTACGGGTATTTTCACTTCTAATATCACTTGAGGTCAAATTATTTCCGAAAAAAAAATACCGGAAAGTAATTTGACCTCGTGTGGTATTCGGTAAGAAAATTTTTCGGCACTGGGACGAAATAGCGCAGGACAAAGTAGCGCGGACAAAAGAGCGCAGGACAAAATAGCGCAGGGACGAAATAGCGCAGAGACGAAATAGCGCAGAGACGAAATAGCGCAGGGTCATAATAGCGCAGAGACGAAATAGCGCAGAGACAAAATTGCGCGCGAAAATGGAGTGCAGGATCTATGATTAGGTTTGTTCGTTTGTTAGAGTAGAGACTCATTCTTCAAATACAAGGTACGTGTTTCAAAATGAGTCTATACCCTAGCAAACAAACTAACCTAATCATAGGTCTACTTTAACAATCCAACGGCATACCTAGTATTAAGTTACTTCGTTTGTAAGGGTAGTCTCCTTTTGAAACATCTAGTATTTGAAGAAATAGTCTATGCCCTGACAAACGAATTAACGTAATCATAGAGGATGCACTACGTTTTCGCGCTCAAATTTGTCTCTGCGCTATTTCGTCTCTGCGCTATTTTGTCTCTGCGCTATTTTGTCTCTGCGCTATTATGTCCCTGCGCTATTATGACCCTGCGCTATTATGTCCCTGCGCTATTTTGTCCGCGCTATTTCGTCCTGCGCTATTTTGTCCTGCGCTATTTCGTCCCAGTGCCAAATTTTACACCAGATTGTGTTTGGAATTTGAATAATTTTGAATTTATTCGTTCGTTTGATTTGCATACAGGTTCATGAATAAATTTAGTTTGGGTAGCAGTTTCGGTACCAATAATAGATTCCTTCATTCTTCCTATAATATTTACATGAAAATACTAGTTTAAAATATAACATATTATATTCTTCCATATTATATTAACTTCGAGATACTACAAGTGATGAGAAATTATAATTCTGTGAATTAATTTTTCATAGGTATAGGTATATACTAGTAGGAGTAGAAAAACGGGAGGCCCCCAGTGAGCCTTTTTTGCCGACCCCTTCTGCAAACGTCATGTACACATAATATCTACTATTCCTTCTCCTAATTCTCCTTTTCGAACTTCCGTGGATTTCTGATGAAGGTCAGCATGTCCGTCCACCTTAGTAATTTGATCTTTCTGTTGAAGCGTATCAGTACCAGAGATTTTGAATTTTAGCCTTCCATAACGCCTTATACTGGCCCAGGTACTGGTATGACAATATATATATCATATAGCAGTTATATAGGGCATCAATGGATTCTTAGCCTCTTAATTGTTGATTTCTACCCAATTGAAGTGGCACTAACTCACGATTTTAGAACGTTAAAATATTATTCTGTCATTAAAACTTCATAAAAAAATTTTCGATTTCATACGCTGGTGGGTATGTACGTCATCAATTTAATTTCCGTATCTGATATCACAATGACTTTATTGTGTTAATTATTTCAAAAGAATCTCATCGCCCATGGATTGTCAAATTTCATGCAATGACAGCTCTGTCTAATAGATGAGCATTGCATTACTTGAGAGGAAATCAGATGGCTACAAGACGAAGAAATAAAAAATGTCGCTGTTATCAAATGTCCCTCTCGAATGATTGCAGCATGAGTAGTAGGCATTCTCGCGGGAAATCACTACCATTCCGTGGTCGTTAAACAATATAATACAATCAGTTCCAAAAAAAGTTCTTAGAAAAAAAAAACAAGAAATAGTAGGCCGATTTTTATTTTTTTTCATTTGTTGGTAGGTAATGCATTCGTCTTTTAAAAAAATTTAAGCGGTGAAATTTTTTTCAAAGCCTCCTTGATGGTGGTGAAATAACACGAACCATGATTTATTCTTGATTTTTGACTCACCCTGTGTGTTAATTGAGTAATGGCATAGAAAGTGCGTACACCCTATACGAAAGAGGCTCCTTTTGCGAGCACTTCGTTTTTTTATCCATTGATTTATCTCTAAAATTTTCCGAATAATATAGGTAACAGAAAACAGAATAATGGAATTTATCATTATTATAAATTCTTTTATCCGAATCAATTTGATCAGAATGACAGAGGGTGATTTGATCAGAATGACAGAGGGTGATTCGATCAGAATGACAGAGGGGTCTTTCAACAAAAACTTGTCCCCTATAATTGCAGAGCCGAATTCTCTACCAGAATTCGCTAGAACCAGTAATTTTTTATCTTGGGGAGGATCATTTTTGACAGTCGAACCAACTTGATGTGTTCATCCTCCTACCTCCTTAGCAACTTCAACTTTGAAATTTGTTACGAATACTCTGGTGCATCGTTTTTGGTAATCTGTTGAAATTTTACAGAGTTATTGAAGAAGTCATTGATTGACAATAATTTTGGAATCGACATTGGCGTTATACTTTCTTACCAACATTGCTCATTTATTGATAGCTTATAGATAATAATTGTTGTTCAATGTACAGATGGCTAATTTTTGTCTCATGATGATTAATATTGAAAACTCGTGCTGCTGTTTTAGTGCTATCTTGATTTCGATATAAAATAATTGCACATTCCAATTGTTTTTGTAATAAAATGAATCATTTCGAACACGCTGACACTGTCGACACTGTCGACAACAAACTCCCAGTCATCTCAACAATTCAAAAAATTCTGAAGATGACTAAGAGTTCTTCTACTACTTCATCCATCTTGTCTACTCTGAGATACAATGGACTTCAACTATAGGATCAATATCAAGTTGGTTTGACTGTCAAGAAGGCTTACCCCAAGAATAAGAATGAAGATTCCCGGAAAATTCTGGTAGATTATTCGATTTGTCTTTCCGAGAGACACTGTAGAGAAAGGTGCCCTTACTTCGAAACATTCAATCAGTTCCGTTTCCGAGGCTGTCCACCTCACCGTTCCTTATTCTTCCAGTTTCGTCCAAGAATTCGTCGCCGACCCCTTGGACGGCGTCTCGCTCCTGCTGGACCTCCTCAGGGCCGTGCACCTCAGCCAGTCCAACCCCGCGCAGACACTCTCCCCCGCCTCTGGTGCCGCCCCCAAGCTGCCTCTTGCTGTGCAGCGGCGCGCCATGCTGGACGAGCTAGCGTGCCTGCAGTGCCTGCTCAGCTGCTGCGCCAGGGACGCAGAGGCGGTCAGGCGGGTCGTCGGGTCGTCGGCGGGGATGTTCACCCTGGCCGTTTGTATCATGAGCAACGTGAACAAGTCCAGGATCGCTGCATTACAGGTAGGTCCCAGTTGAACGAACATACTAGATTCATTTCTCTCCAGTTGAAGTACCCCAGCAAACATTTTGATATGGGGCATCAATGGCCTAATATATTTTTCCCATACCTGACATCAGCGGCCCAGTAAATGGTCCCATATGCGAGACTCCATATATCAGTACACTGCGGCAGGCAGCTTGTCCCAGTGCTGGGTACCTAGCAATCATATTCAGTTCTCCGGCAATAGGCCAGTTCAACATAATCGACACATTCAGTTTTCTATAGCAAGCCCAGTATAATACATAAATGATGGGACTGTAATGGCCAATTAACGACATTGGTTACATACTATCGAGGTAGGGGAGGGGTAGGGGTTTTAAGGGTCCAATAGATCTGGAAGTTCTAGTAGGTACCTCTTTATTTCACAATATAACCCTCTCATCATGAATCAGACACATACCAGATTTCGAAAAAACAATTTTATGAATGACACAATCATATCTTCTTAGCCTCTCTGTTCTTCAACGATGAAACTTCTCGGAGTGACTGATGCTCACTGGTTGGTATGTGGTATTTACATCTTATTGGGTAGCATTCCTTCAAAGTTGATTCTTCGTTGTGGGGTGTACTTTTGAAATAAAAAATGTTGTTTCATATTAGTGGCCAATGAGTTCCATGAGTTTATAACTTGATAATATAGTCTGAAGACGTGAATAACATGGAGCTTTTCAATTCTCATTATTTTCTTGACACAGGTATATCTGTAGCTGAAACCTTAATGTTATTTAGTTCTTTGATATAGAGAAAGGTTCACATAACCTTAGATTGCTTTTGATAGCAAAAAAAGAGTTAAAAATGATAGTTGCTTCTGGAGAAGTATAGCCAACTCCAATTATTATGATCATTAGGTATATGAGGTTACGAGATACCAAACACATGTATTTAAAAATGAAATTCGAAACACTATGTAGGTTGATTGATACTTACTCAATATTATCATAATTGAAGAATTTGTCTTCTATTATTACCAATTGAGAATACTCCTGTCATCATTAATAACCACCAGGTAAAGAGAGGATACCACATTAATTCGACATAAACAAACTAGTACGCGATCACCGCACACGAGAGTCAGCCATCTTAGTCACATATGATATTGATCAGCTGATTGTTGATGTAGACGTTCCCAGAACATCTACCAGGGGGACGAGTAGCGAACATGAAATTGGCCAGCAAAGGGCCAGATCTCGTTAGTATTCAATTAGTTCCAGACATCTTACCATCACAAGGCCATCATCGTATTCTTAACTGATGGTTACGTGGCATAGGAAAATCATCGGCCCATTACCAATACCCCGGCATCGTCACTTTCCCAGACTAGCCTGTACTAGGCCGGACTTCTCCCGCTAGTTCAATGTTTGCTGGGACATTTCATGACGTGATATAAAATCATACACAGATTGTCCCATAATTAGCGTGCAATACTTCACTAGCAGATTCTTCAATCAAAAATGAGAAAAAGTTCCCATAAACATAGGTCGAACAATGTCCCATAAGCGAGCTACAACCCCTTGAAGGTGGTACCCTGAAGATGGTTTTTATTTTATATCTTCGAAACTGTTGATAGCAGAATCATAAAATTTTGCAAGTCTGCCAATCTTTCCATATTTATTTATCAATGTATTTATTTATATATAGAAAACTAACAGGTTCACACCTAATTACAAGTTTTCTAACCTAAACTAATCTATCCTAACTTCCACTTAGATAGCAATAATCACTTATAGAGAAAAAATTTAGCTGATGGGTTAAGTTGTATGATGTAACTTAGAGCCTTAGAGAATACAGGTATTGATTTTAATTACAGTAAATTCAACAAATCCTTCCGAAACTTGGCTAATTTGGTATCAAAAAAACAACTATTCATTCTGTCAACATACTTATTACAGATTTGGAGAATACTGTGCATTAAAGAGCCACTTGTTATCGAAACATGAAAGAGTATGGGTCTGGGACGAAGTGTTCTTGAGGGTACTAGAATATTTATTTGACCTAAAAGGTACCTACTCGCTCTCTATCGATCCATTCAAAATTTTGTGTATAAATTCCATTTTAATAATAGTTCTTCTGTGCTCTAAATGTTGTATTTTAAACTCATCGCGTATTGGTTGGTAAGATTCGAACCTTGGATTCACTTTGTGTTGACAGTAGTACAGATATTTCAAGAATTTATTCTGCACAGATTCCAAATTTCTTTTCAAGACCTGAACGTGTGGATCCCAAATTATGGATGCAAATTCAAGACGGCTGCGAACTAAATAGTAATAAAGCAATTTGATCGATTCAATATTCCTGAATTCACATGTTGAACGTTTAAGAAACCCTAGCATTCTAAAAGCTTCACTACTCACGATATTTATATGCTCGGTGAACTTTAGATTTTCAGTGAAGTGTACCCCTAAATCCTTCATCGAGGAACATCTTTCTAGGATAGTATTGTCCATAGTATAAATGTAATGGTCAGGATTTCTGGATCGATGAAAAGTCATTATTTTACATTCATCAAAATTGAAATATAGTTGGACCAACTGATAATATTGTCAATATCATTTTGTAGCACTAAGTAATCATTAACGTTCCTGATAGGTCGAAATATTTCGAAATCATCAGCATATAATAAGCAATCAGAAGTCACAAGGTTTGGCAAGTCATCAATAAAGATTAAAAGTAGTAGTGGACCAAGATTGGAGCCCTGTGGTACTCCAGATCTTGCAATATATGTTAATGAGTTGTATCCAAGAAAATTAACGTACTGTGGCCTATCACTGACGTACGACCTCAGCAAATGCACCAACTGCTCACTCAGACCATGAGATAAATGTTTCACTAGTTAAGTATCATGATCTACTCGATCAAATGCCTTGGCAAAATCCGTGTACACAACATCTACTTGCTCTCCAATATCAATGGAGTTTTGGGTCTCATTTACAAAGATAGCTAGATTTGTTTCGATGCATTTTTTTTTGCGAAAACCATGTTGTTCTGCAGAAATATTATGTTTCACATGATTATAAATTTTATCAAATATAATAAATTCATATAACTTTGCTATACAATTCAAAACAGCAACTGGTCGGTAATTAGCGATCTCACTCTTTGCTCCTTTTTTATGAATAGGAGTTATTTTGGTAGCTTTGAAATGATTAGGAAAAATTCCACAATCCAGCGATTTTTGAAATATTACCATAAGGGGATATATCAAATATTCTCTACAAGATTTTATTAGATAACATGGAATATTATCAGGACCCGAAGATTTCTTTGGTTTATCTAATGATATGCCATGATATAAATTTCAAACTTTCATCTAGAAATGGGTCAAACTGTGGGGGTGTGGATAAAACCACCCCAACTTTTTCAAGTGCGGTTTTTTGCAACTTCAGCATGAAATTATGAAACTTCGAAGTCTTTTGCATGAAAAAGTTATTCTAGTTCAACTTCGATAGGAAGCACCGTTCTCGAGTAAAATCAATTCGAGAATTACTTCACATGTCATAAAAATTCATACTGAAATTAGAAAAATTCAAAATTTGAGGAAGGCCATGCACAACCAGTGTGTTTGGGAAATAACAATCAGGACAGGTGACATGAAAATTTATGAAATAGGTGAATGAAGCATTGTAAATTAATGTAATCTATGAAAGAATACCTATTAAAATTATCTGAGCGACATTTTTTTCACTCAAATAATTGTTCTTCAATGCATGAAAAAATACTTATTGAATTTATCTAAGCGACATTTTTCTCACTTGAGTAATTGTTCAATTGAGTGACTTCCATTTTTTTGAATGCATAGTCGGGCTCGACGACTCATAGCTTGAGAAGCACGCAAAATTTGAAATTGGTTTAATCTAATTTCATTGGCAGCCTCATTTTTATTCTCTGCAGGAGCCCCTCTCGTGTGTTCACTTCAGTGGTGTACACCAGCGAATTCAAATTCCCCCAAAAATAAAAGTACAGTGGGTTCAAGTCGGGAGATCGGGGTGGACAAGCTATAGGTCCATTACGACCGATCCATTCAACCATGTTCTTATATTTCGAGCGGAATGAGCTGGCGCCCCATCATGTTGATACCACATCATGTTTCGGTAGCTGGTTGATGACCATGGCCAACTTAACCCAATCCAATTTCCTTTTTTTGCACGCCATCCTTTTTCTCCTTCAATATAAAAAAAGTGATGATAAAATCTCCTCAAGTGAAAAAGAAAAAACCGGGAGTAGATAACCTTTCCATTAGGATTTCCCGGCAAGAGGTGCTCATGGAAGCCTCATGTACCTATATGTAACATTCGTGGTCCAAGTAAGAACATCAACGATGTCCATCAACACTTTCACAATGGAAAGCCAGACATATTGGCCCTGACTGATATACAGGACAATTCATCCACCAATACGACCTATATTTTGAGATTCAAAGGAAGTCATTACCTCTATTCTGACGCAAAACTCTCATGGCATCGAGAGGAATCTTTGCAACCAAATAATTATGGGGCAACGTGGTTCAAACAAGGTATCCAGAAACATATCAAATATCTTTGTTGTCTCTACCTATCACCAGATGATCCAACTCATAAAGAGTTCTTGTCCCTCGAGCTCGACTTAATTCAGCAGGACCATCCAGCAGCAAATATTATTACCATCATGGGCTATATCAATGTACACAACACTACTTGGCTCGTACACTCCAATAATGCGGATGGAGCTGGGCGACAAGCCAAAGCAGTCGCCATCACTCACGGCTCAGAGCAGCTTATCATGGAACCCACACGCATTTTGGATGTCGACAAGCATTCACCCAACAAACTTATATTGCTCACTAATCACTGATCACAAGAATCAATTTTGGCACCAACATTATTCCTTCTTCATATCAATGATCTGTTGGGAGTAACAACTTGCCCCATCCACAGCTTTGCAGATAATAGTACCCTCCATACTGCGTTCTCTTCCAGAATTCCCATTGCTTCCCAGGAAACTAAGAACTCACGGCGCAGGCAGGTCAATGCTGTCAATGAAGACCTTGCTGAAATCACAGCCTGGGGAACCAACAACCTAGTTGAATTCAACGCCACCAAAACTCAAGCCTGTATTTTCTCTAGAAAGGCGGAACTCAGTATGCCCGACATTGTAATGTCTGGCACCACCATCTCCACCAAGCCCACCATATCTATGCTCGGTATTTCCATCAGCAACACTCTTTCATGGGATAATCATGTCAGATCCATCGCAAAAGCTGCTTCACAAAAACTCCGATTCTTGTTCCTTCCGAAAAGCTACTTTACACCTTTACAGCTTCCCATGATCTACAAAGCGCAGATACGGCCTGTTCTGAAATACTGTTCCCACATATGGGGTTCAGCACCAAAACATACGCTGATGCTCTTGGATTCCGTCCAGAGAAGAGCCATCCGCCTGGTGGGTAACGCCACACTCACTCACTCTTTGACATCATTGGAACACTGTAGAAAGGTCGGCGACCTTCCACTTTTCTATCGATACTTTCACGGGAAATGTGCTTTGGAAATCTCTGCTACCATCCCTTCACTAGCAATACCAGTTAGACGAACTAGACAAGCCCAGTCATCACATTCTTTCGTTGTCAACCTCGAAAGATGTCGAACAGCACTTTATCAAAACTCCTCCCAGATAGCACACACTCGCCTAAGGTCATCCTCAATGTGTAGCCAAACGCCTGGAGAGGACGTTCTATTTTCTACAACCTAAGAACATCATCAGGCGTAAATTTAGCGCTATAATTGTCCTAAATGAGTTCTTTCAGTGACGCCTGAGGATGTAAAGAATTTCATGCCTACGGACGTCTTCAGGTAGCAAGAAACAATGGTGAGTAAATACTAAATAGAATCATTGATAGTACCGTACATGAAATATTGATACATTCATATACATTATTCACTGTTTCAGGAGGTTATTGAGAACACAAACTTGATGATATCATCATAGCAAACATGTTTTATTCCAAGATAGCTTTGCTCCTTCGGAATCTTTAAAATATCGTATGGAAGCTTGAACTTTCAGTATGAATTCAATAAAGGTAGGTACCTGAATCAAATCATTGATATAGTAGGTACTGGACATGAAATGTTAATAGGTTAATTATTTGTTTCAGATGAAGTTATTGAGAACACAAGATTGATGATGTCATCATCAGAGCAGAGATGTTTCATTCCAAGATATTTTGGCTTCTTCGAAATCTATGTGAGATTGCGTATGCATGTTTGCACTTTCAGTATATTCAATAAAGGTAGGTACCTGAATCAAATCATTGATATAGTAGGGACTGGAACATGGAATATTAATAGGTACATTATTTGTTTCAGGAGGTTATTGATAACACAAAATGATGATATCATCAGAGCAGAGATATTTTATTCCAAGTTATTTTGGCTTCTTTGGAAATTATGAAAGATTGTACAAATGCAGACTTTCAGTAGATTCAATAATGGTTGGTACCTATAACTACATAAATCATATCATTGATAGTAAGTACTGGACATGAAATATTAATACATTGTTTGTTTCTGAAGGTTATGCAAAACACAAACCTGATGATATTTTCATTCGACGATAGTTTTGCTTCTTCAGAATCTATAAAATATTGCATGAAGGCTTCAACTTCCAGTTGATTATTCTGCATCAGGAATGTCCAAAGTTCAGAAATCAAAAACAACATGGAGAAATATAACTTTCAATAGGCAATAACTTCTAGTAGTGCTCAACAAGAAGCTGAAATACATTTCCTTGAGAAGGAAATTGAAATTTTTCAGAATAAGTTATAAATAATAGAATGTAAGTTTTTCATTTGGTTTTTCATTTGAACCTATTATAAATAGAGGGAAATTTTGCCAATATCATGAGATCTATATTATTTTGAAGAAATTATCATTCGCATAATACAAGGTGATTCAATAGTGTGTTTTCCTTATTGTATATATTAGCCAAACCATCAGATAAATAGAGAAAATTCAAGTACAACAGTAATAGGGTTTCATGAGAACTTTCACATTGAATTGTTTCCATATATATCTGTAGGGTGTTCGAATTCCAAGATATATTGACTGATGATTGTTTTTTTCCAAATGGGACACCCTGTATACTATTGCATTTTTAGGTTCTCCCTGAAGAGCTGATTCCATCAATGCATCACACTTGGGGTCAAGCGGGAATGATTACAGAGATATAGGGTGTTAATAAACAAGATTTTTCAATTTTAGGATTCTTTTTGTGGAAACTATTCAATATTGGTCAAAACGGCTCACATATTAACTTTCGATTCACTATCTACTGACATTCAATCGGAAAAAATAGAGGGTGGGTTAACATTCAGAATACTGATCAGCTTATATATAGTATCTGTTCCAATTAAATATCAGTAGATAGCTAATCAAAAGTTATGACAGGAACATTTGAGCCGTTTTGACCAATAATGAATAGTTTCGACACAAAAAATCCTACATTTGAAGAATCTCAATTGTCAACACCCTATATCTCTGTGATAATTCCCACTAGACACCAAGTGTGATGCATTGATGGAATCAACTCTTCAGGGAAAACTCAAAAATGCAAATACAAGGTGTTTCATTGAAAAAAAAAACAATCATCAACCGATATCTTGGAATTCGAACACCCTATAGATATGAAAACAACTTTAGGTGATTGTTCTTATGAAACCCTATTACTGTTGTACTTGAATTTTCATTTTATATATCTGACGGTTTGGCTAATATCGGAGGAGAACACACTATGGTGACTCATTCTGTATACGAATAATATTCTTCCATAAATCTTGAACCTCCTTGAAACATCATCAAAATCCGCCTCAAGTTGTTACCATGATGTCCTGAGGTTGTCTCAGAAGATTTTATAGGGATGTTCTGAGACGTTATTAGTATGTAGAGAATGGTAACAGGAGGACGTCTTGAGAATGTCCTCAGGCTCGCTCTCGACGTCCTGAGGACATGATTGTGAACGCCTCAGAAGGGCCTCAAAAGCAATTTGTGCTATCTGGGCTTCATCCATAGAACGGCTAGGCTCTGGAATTCATTGCCTGAGGAAGTATTCCCAACAACATAATATAATCTCCAGAAGTTCAAAAAAATTCCAATACCTACCTCCTATCCCTATCCTCCCTAGGAACGCACGATGTTCTTTGAACATTATAAGGATTCCCTTTCGTGCCCTCCAAGCGATAAAGAAAAAAAAAAATTCAGCACCCTACACCATAGATGTACGAGCTCCACTTGGATATTCTGTTTCTGTTTCCCTCAGTTATACATTTCACTGGGCACAAATGATTTTTTTTTTGGTATTTCATACAACTCGTAGTCCAGAAAACACCAAAATTTGAACAACACCTTGAAATTGTAACCAATTATTACGTCTACGTGTTCGGAAACATGAGTTAAAGTGAGTAAGATATGGATGTGACAGGTCCTAAATGTGCATGATTTATGATCACCATTTCGATTTCTTGAGTGACATAGCTTCTTTTGTTATGGCATTAGCGGTATAGAAGTGGTTCATGTCATCAGAGCTCTGAAATCTACCAAGTTACTGCCTCTTGCCTCGAAGAGAGTGCCTCAGACCATCGAACTATTCCCAAGTCTCTGATACTGTATTTTGTTCTAGTATACGCAGATTTGCATTTCCATATGTTTAATATTTGTTGGGAAATAACTAAAAGCCCATAGTTTTTCTTAGGCAGGGCTGCATGGTTCAATTTTCACGAAAAATACTCAAAATTTTGAACATATATAAGAATTTTAGACACTATTTGAAACTCATTTGATAAAGAAACAGGATTTCCTATAACCTCAATATCTACTTCTATTTTCAGCTACTGAGTAAAGTTTGCGAACCGAAATCAAAAGGCCACTCTGTAGTTTCCGAAGCCATGTCCACCTTACGCCTCAGATTCGGAGAACCAGTTCGATTCAGGTTCCTGATCGGTATGCTCAGTTCCGCAGGAGGTCAGTCAGAACTACTCACAGCAGGACTGAAATTCCTCAACACGTTCCTCAGTACAGCAGGCTCTGCTCAGAAGAGACTCTACTTACAAGCTGAACTAGAGCAAGCTGGATTCGATATTGAAGCAGTTAGAAAGGTAACTATACTATGATAATAAAAATTCCAACACCTACCTCTTTTTCCTATCCTTCCTAGGTACTCATGATGTCCTTTGAACAGTATAGAAATTTCCTTCCATTGCGCTACAAGAGATGAAAAAAATTGAATAGTGAGATACCAATCCTGGAAGCACAACTTGAAGAAAAATGTCCTATCTTATCAATTTCCGAACTACTAACACCTTTTGAATATCATTCTAACTCCTCTGCTGGCATTAATTAGATTTTATAATTTCAGAACGTTGGAGTAAACATCAACTCATGTGATCCAATTTTTGATGAACTGGACCTATGGGAGAAGCACTACATTGATATTGAGAGTATCACAATACGAATGGAAAGTGCTGAAAAGGAGAACGACTGTTTACGAGGAAAACTGAACCTATTAGAACAGAAAGTACAGGTATGATATGGAATACTAGAGGTCATGAATTTTTCAAGAAAAAATCTCACAGGAGAGAACATCAGATTAACTAATTTGTGTCTTCTTCTTCTTCTTCTTCGAATCACTGGTGGGCGGGTGAACCCCCTGCACGTGGGCCTCCTTATTCGGGCCCATTGTGCGCCCACATGTTACAACATTCAGCTGGGTATGCCGACTGCCTTGGAGAAGTTCAGCAGCTTCCTCAGCTGAATCTCTTTTACGTCCTCTGGCCTCAAGATTATGTTGCCAAGGACAGCCTTCCTCTGATGCGTCAGTGCTGGACACTCAGTGAGGACATGTGATGACGTTTCGTCATCTTCCAGGCACCATCTGCAAAGGGGGTCATCCTTGATCCCAATAAGCTCTAGGTGCCTATTGAGGTGGTTGTGCCCCGTTAGGAGCCCCACTACCATTTTAAGGTTTCGCCTGTTTAGGAATAAAACCTCTTTTGCGAGCCTCTTCGAGGGTTCCTTTATGTGGAGCTTCGATTGTCTCATTCCTGGTGTGTCCTTCCATATTTTGAGGAATTGCTTTTGCAGCTGTTCCTCTATAGAGGACATTGCCAGGCTATTTGGTATTCCCAAGATTGGTTCCGGTCCGACCGGGGTCCGTCCTGAACCGATCTTTGCCAGTCTGTCTGCCTCCTCGTTTCCGGGTATTCCCGAATGTCCCGGAACCCACATGAGGCTGACTTTTCTTGATTTTGCCAGGTTTTCCAAGGCTTTTCTGCACTCGGACACCAAATTGGATGTGATCATATTGGATTGCAAAGCCAGTATTGCAGCTTTGCTGTCCGAGCATATAGTGATTGGTCTATGACCTCTCATAATTAGGTTTTCTTGGACACAGGTGAGTATTGCAAGTACTTCTGCCTGGAACACTGAGGCATATTCGCCCAAAGGAACTGAAATTTCTTTCCCTGTTCCTTCATTGTATACCCCTGCACCTGAACCGCCCCCAAATTTTGAGCCATCCGTGTACCAGATTGACTCATTCGGAGGAGGCACGCCAGGTGTTGTGTCATTCCATTCTTCCCTCGTAGGGATGACAGTGTTTGGGGCTTTGTTGAAGTTCAGAATTGGCAAGGTATTATCCCTTCTCATCATGAGGATGGGACAGTTTTCCTTTGCCTTATTCCATATGAGGGAGTGGCCTTGATCTGCTTCTGTTCCGACCCACTGGTTTGCACCGTTGAGTCGGTAAGCAGTTCTCATGGCTTCGTGTTGTATGAACAGGTGTAGAGGCGGCAGACCTAACAGAACTTCAAGAGCCCTGGTGGGTGTCGTTCTCAGAGCACCTGTTATTCCCAGGCAGGCCAGTCGCTGGACTCTATCCAGTTCTCTGTTGGTCTTGCCCTTATTGGTACTGGTCCACCATACAATGGACCCGTACGTAAGTGTTGGGCGTATTACTGCCGTGTATATCCAGTGAAGGGTCTTAGGTGTGAGACCCCATGTTTTTCCAAAGGCTCGTCTGCATGCCCAGAAGCAGCATACAGCCTTCTTAGTGCGGTTTGCAATGTGCTCATTCCAAGTGAGCTTGAAGTCTATTATAACTCCAAGGTACTTTGATGATCTTTTATATTGGAGACAATTTCCCGAGAGAAATATCTCAGGAAGTGTTCCTATTTTGCGTTTCTTAGTGAATAATACCAAGTTCGCCTTTTCTGGATTGACTCTTAATCCACTGGTGGAACACCACTGTTCCACTTTATTGAGGGCTTCCATGATTGGATTCCCTAGCCGGTTCGCCGATTGATTTTGGGCCATTATTACCAAGTCATCTGCATATGCTTGCGCATATAGCCCTGGCTTATTCAAATCTATGAGGAGCTCGTCTACTACCAGGCACCATAGTAGTGGTGATAAAACCCCTCCTTGAGGACATCCTCTTGATACCTTGGCAGCAACCGACCTCCCACATAGTTCTGCTTTTACCACTCGCTGCGATAGCATGGCCCTAATCCACCTGGTCAAGGTTTGGTGGACCCCATGTCTATCCGCGGCGTGGCATATCGATTCAAATGACGTATTGTCAAATGCTCCTTCTATGTCTAGAAAGACTCCCATGGCTGAGCGTCCACCAGCTAGCACTCCATCTATCTTGTGGACAAGATGATGGAGAGCCGCATCTGTGGACTTCCCAGTCTGATAGGCATATTGTTGTGCGTGCAGCGGGTTTATTTGCAGTGGCACATCTCTGATGTATCGATCTATCAGCCTCTCCTGTGTTTTCATGAGGAAAGACGTGAGGCTGATGGGTCTATACGCTTTGGCATCGGAATAATCTGTTTTCCCTGGTTTCGGGATAAATACGATCCTAACCGATCTCCATTCCACTGGTATGTGGCCCAGAGCCAGACAGGACCGAAATATCTTCATAAGCAGGGAAATGATGGTGTCCATTCCCTCTTGTAGGAGGGCCGGAAATATTCCATCTTCCCCTGGTGATTTAAATGGTGCGAGTTCTTCTCACTGGGCTCGTCGTCCTCAAAGGTGGTTCGTTGGCTATTTCTGAATCCGGAAAGTGTGTGGAGATGAGGTGCTGCAATGTTTCCTCTGCCGTTGTGGTTTCTCGACCATCTGACAGAGACAGCACGCCCACTCCTCTTCCCGGTTCTTTGGAGAGAACTTTGCATATCCTTGCCGCTGAAGAAATTGTGTTTATTTCTCCGCAGTAGGCACGCCAACTGTCTCTTTGTGCTTGCCGAATGGCTTTTTTGTACGCTCTCTGGGCAGACTTATATTCTTCCCAGTGCTGCGGTACGTTGGTACGTTTCGCTTTGTTTAGAAGCTTTCTTGTGAGCCTGCGGTGGTTTTCTATTTCTGAATTCCACCATGGCGTTCTGGCATTGGTAGCCCTCTAATTTGTGTCATTCAATCCTCTTCCAGATTCTGCAAGACGAAAAGGGCATCTTGATATCTCTAGATCAATGTCTCAGAGAAAGATGTAGCGAACTCAGGGAAGAAGTCCAATCTCTGAAATCTTCCCAATCCGCCGATTTATCACCCCACTTTGAAAAAAATCAAGGTGAGTATCTAACACTGAACATTCCAAGTCTCATCATCGTACTCTTCATCTGTTTCTTCCAGAAGAACCCACTCCAGATGATGAAGGCATTTCCTCATCAGAGCGGACTCCTACTCCTGAAGAGGAAATCCAACAACCATCTGTCTACGATATCTTCCCCAATGATTGCACATCTATACCTCCACCAAGAGATCACCCTGACCAAGACTCCGAAGAAGAAACGACCATTGAGGAAGTGATACAGGAACTGAAAGACATAATCAGCAATGAGGAAACAGAAAACCACAATAGAGAAAATCTCAAAATCACACAAGACAGGAAACGATCTGAAGAAGCACAGATGGCAGGAAAACTCCATACACATCTAGACATCAATGACTACGTATTGGGAAGCGAATACGAGATAATCCCTTCAAATTTACTCCCTCAGCCTCCAAGAAGAGCTAGAAGTCTCATGCACCTTTTTGTACCAGCTGAAGACTATGGATATTGTAACAGAGAAATTTTCTTCGATAAAGAATCTCTCACATCGGAAGGCTCGTTCTCATTGGTCAGTGTATCCAGATATTGCCATCCTTCAGTGGAAAGCGGGTTGGAAGCACCATCCGTGACGAAGACAATCCCAGCAAAACCTGAAAGGCACACTTCGAAGACCAGCATTAGGAGGTCAGAATCATTCATGAAATCGGATAATAATCTTGACAAACAGCTCAGTCATGATCGACTGAGTCACTCCAATACGATGACACATCAAGTCTGCAATCGTACTGAGGAAACGCCTGATCGTATGAATTGCAAAAGTCTAGATAGAATAGGTGATGGTCTAGGATCATTCGTGGATATTGTAGTTACTGGTCAGAACAATCCGAAGGCAACTCCTTTCTTATCAAAGAGCGACTCTGGCAATGTTTCTAGTGCCTCTGTCTGCAAGAGTGTCTCTAATATCTATTTCAGTTCCAATCATCAGGCTGCAGGTTCGAAACTCAGTGTTCACTCAGAAGAGAAACAAAGAATGTTTCTTCCTTCGCAAGGAGATCAGAATGAAGTATTGTACTACTTTCCAAGGGTACTCGAGAAAAGGAACAGCGGTAGTTCAGGGTTTCTGGGTGGCAGAGGAATCAATAACGCAGGCATGTATTCTGGACAGGTGATTGATAATCATTCATACTTTTCGAGGAGCAAAGAGATTATTGGGAGTGATTGCCATAGTTCTGGAAAATTAACTGACTTTCCGTCAGGATTGTATTGATACAATATTGAACCTGCAAATTTTCAGTAGGCTGGAAGTTTTCATCATACCTACCTTTAATGGAAATGATAGATTTTCACGAAGAAATTTCAATTTCGATTATTATTTTTTCAAGAAATATGCTCAGGTGGGTGTATACAATCATAAGATTAGGTATACGAGACTAGACAAGAGCAGTTGTCAAGATGAATGTATTAGAGATTAGTGATTGTAAATATGTGGAGATTAATAGTTATTGTGTGCAATATATGAATTTTTTTTTCTTTAGAAGTTCTAATATATTTTTGACGTTGATTTTTATATTCTGTTCGAAGAGTTCGAATCAGTTCGATGGACACATTAGATGTGCTGAGGTCGAAAGGAACATTTGAAGACAGTGAATAAGTTTATCAACTTTGTAAAATATTATAGAATTACTCAAGAATTTAATTTCCAGTTACTCAGTGATAGGTTTTCTTGTTTTTGTATTCAAATACTTGCCTGTGTATTTGACAAGAATTATAATGCGAATAAAGAATTATTGATATTGACTTCTCTTTCAATCCAATGTTTGATTCGATGATGTTTGATATCATTACATAATTCAACCGTTTGTTAAGGTTTCTATGAATTGTTCTGAAGAAGACTACGTACCATACTAGTGGATACAAATCAAGGGTACCATATATATGTATCAGTAGATATAATAGGAATCGGGATCAGATTATCGAAAGTCTAGTCCCAGATAGCACAAATTCCTTTTGAGGCCCTTCTGAGGCGTTCACAATTATGTCCTCAGGATGTCGAGAGCGAGCCTGAGGACATTCTCAAGACGTCCTCCTGTTACCATTCTCTACATACTAATAACGTCTCAGGACATCCATATAAAATCTTTTGAGACAACCTCAGGACATCATGGTAACAACTTGAGGCGGTTTTTGATGATGTTTCAAGGAGGTTCAAGATTTATGGGAGAATATATTATTCGTATACAGAATGAGTCACTATAGTGTGTTCTCCTCCGATATTAGCCAAACCGTCAAATATATAATATGAAAATTCAAGTACAACAGTAATAGGGTTTCATAAGAACAATCACCTAAAGTTGTTTTTATATCTATAGGGTGTTCGAATTCCAAGATATCGGTTGATGATTGGTTTTTTTCAATGGAACACCTTGTATATTATTGCATTTTTGAGTTTTCCCTGAAGAGTTGATTCCATCAATGCCATCACACTTGGTGTCTAGTGGGAATTATTACATCAGAGATATAGGGTGTTGACAATTGAGATTCTACAAATGTAGGATTTTTTGTGTGGAAACTATTCATTAATGGTCAAAACGGCTCACATGTTCCTGTCATAATGTCAGTAGATAGTAAATCGAAAGTTTATAGGGATATGTGAGCCGTTTTGACCAATATTGAATAGTTTCCACAAAAAAAAATCCTAAAATTGTAAAATCTTGTTTTTGAACACCCTATATCTCTGTAATCATTTCCGCTAGACCCCAAGTGTGATACATTGATGGAATCAGCTCTTCAGGGAGAACCTAAAAATGCAATAGTATACAGGGTGTCCCGGCCATTTGGAAAAAAATAATCATCAGTCAATATATCTTGGAATTCGAACACCCTACAGATATATATGAAAACAATTTAATGTGAAAGTTCTCATGAAACCCTATTACTGTTGTACTTGAATTTTCTCTATTTATCTGATGGTTTGGCTAATATACAAGGATAACACACTATTGACTCACCTTGTATTATGCAAATGATAATTTCTTCAAAATAATATGGATCTCATGATATTTGCAAAATTTCCCTTTATTTATAATAGGTTCAAATGAAAAACCAAATGAAAAACTTGCATTCTATTATTTATAACTTATTCTGAAAAATTTCAATTTCCTTTCCAAAGAAATGTATTTCAGCTTCTTGTTGAGCACTACTAGAAGTTATTGCCCATTGATAGTTATATTTCTCCATGTTGTTTTTGATTTCTGAACTCTGGACATTCCTGATGCAGAATAATCAACTGGAAGTTGAAGCCTTCATGCAATATTTTATAGATTCTGAAGAAGCAAAACTATCTTGGAATGAAAATATCATCAGGTTTGTGTTTTGCATAATAACCTTCTGAAATAAACAATGTATTAATATTTCATGTCTAGTACTTACTATCAATGATATGATTTATGTAGTTATAGGTAGGTACCAACCATTATTGAATCTACTGAAAGTTCAAGTCTGCATATGTACAATCTTTCATAATTTCCAAAGAAGCCAAAATATCTTGGAATAAAATATCTCTGCTCTGATGATATCATCATTTTGTGTTATCAATAACCTCCTGAAACAAATAATGAACCTATTAATATTTCATGTTCCAGTCCCTACTATATCAATGATTTCATTTAGGTACCTACCTTTATTGAATATACTGAAAGTGCAAACATGCATATGCAATCTCACATAGATTTCGAAGAAGCCAAAATATCTTGGAATGAAACATCTCTGCTCTGATGACATCATCAATCTTGTGTTCTCAATAACTTCATCTGAAACAAATAATTAACCTATTAACATTTCATGTCCAGTACCTACTATATCAATGATTTGATTCAGGTACCTACCTTTATTGAATTCATACTGAAAGTTCAAGCTTCCATACAATATTTTATAGATTCCGAAGAAGCAAAGCTATCTTGGAATAAAACATGTTTGCTATGATGATATCATCAAGTTTGTGTTCTCAATAACCTCCTGAAACAATAAATAATGTATATGAATGTATCAATATTTCATGTCCGGTACTATCAATGATTCTATTTAGTATTTACTCACCATTGTTTCTTGCTACCTGAGAGAAATGTCATCAACAGAGATTATCATCCTTTTGTTATTGTTATCTTTTAATTCTGTGCAATAAGTTCTTCTCGCAATCATTTTGTGAAATAGAAATTTGATGAAGGTATTCAATGAATACTCTAATAATTTTGATATAATCATTAATATATTATGATGTATCTTGAACAAATCATGACTATCATGAGACATAACCTCAATTCTAGTTCTTCTTTTTCTTCCTTTTGTCTTCGATGACACGTTATTTCATGGAATGTCATCTGAAGACGTCCGTAGGCACGAAATTCTTTACTTCCTCAGGCTGTCACTGAAAGAACTCATTTAGGACAATTACAGCGCTAAATTTACGGCTGATGATGTTCTTAGGTTGTAGAAAATAGAACGTCCTCTCCAGGCGTTTGGCGACACATTGAGGATGACCTTAGGCGAGTGTGTGCTATCTGGGGTGATGTGTATAACTTTTATTCAATCGCAATATCTACATAATATAATAAATGTTTATGTACTAGGAAGATTTTGTAGTTTCGAATTATACATAAGCATGTATAGTTTTATCAAATAGGCATAAATGATAATGGAGAGATGTTGATAAGAAATTTAGAAAGTATTGAAATTCGATAAAAATAAGTGAAATTTACGCATTCATTTAGCCTATGATCGAGTTCCAATAATTCATTCTCAAGAACTTGCGAGAAGTGGTCAAGGTGCATAAACTAAGTATTCGATAATGCGTATCACTAGTTAACAACACCATCAGATAGTAGTCCGTCCAGGATCCACCGCCTGTTTCTGTCATTGATAACCCTAACAACACGAGTACGTCCCAGGGACGTCCCAGGGAAGTCCTTCATCTTCTATGAGGACGTCCCTGGGATATCCTGTGTCGGGACATAGCACGTACTAGGGACGTCCCAGGGACATCCGCTTTCCACAAAAAGGGGCATCCTAGGAATGTCCTCCTGGTACGTCCCTGGGATGTACCAAGTACGAAGAAAGGATATCCCTAGGACGTCCCAAGGATATCCCAGAGACATCCCTTCGACAAAAGAAAAAAATTTAGGTCGAGTACGAATTGAAACCGGGACCTTCGGCTTATCAGGCACGCATCTTACTCCATTGGCTATTGAGCCTCCTGGAGATTTATGTACTCAACAGATTTATAAACAGGACTTGACTACAGAAACCTGAATAAATACAACTTTGTTAGGATTTAGGTATAATTATTATATCATTCTTAGGTGTTTAAAAATGAGGGGCATTATGCATGTACGATTTCTGTCTGCGAAAAATTGTTATTTCTGAAACTTTATTCTTTATTTTCATTACGATCATTTTCCGGAAGAAAAACAAACATTTTCAAAAAAATGCAACCTAATACTTTGATGAAATTCAATGACTCTGATGTGATGGATATCAGATATTCCAGGGACACGAATAGGATAACCTAGGGATGTACCGGGCGGGATGTCCACTGGACAACCACTGCGCGACATCCCCTGGATGCCCCAATCATGTCCTTGTACCGCGGGACATAAAAGCGACGTACCTACCTAGGACATCCCTGTGTTGTTAGGGAAATAACATGCTGAATCTTCGTGAGTAGGTTCCATTCGGAGAGACGCCCAAGTTTCTCCTCTGTGGAAAAGTTTCCATAGAGGGAGCAAGTGTACAGCTCAGCTGTGAAACATGTCAATTTGGTGAGGTTCCTCACAGTCAGTTTCTTCAAAAAATGTTAAGATCATTGTATCAGGAAGAACAATTGTCCTGCAAAATTGAAGATTTGTTACGAGGGTTCTCCGCTTCAAATTTGTCGAGAAACGAGGTCATCAATAACAAGCTGATTTTTTCTATGCAGCTTTGTAAATATTGTGAAAATGAAATGGCCACATCGTCTTACAAGTTTAGTGATTCGATTTCTCAGACCGACGTTTGGGAGTTATCGATACTACGGTATCTTTTTTTCATTTATAATGGTAGGACAAATATAACTAGAGATGAATAAGTGCAAAGCTAGCGATTCAAAGTATCTTAGTAACATTATTTCGTATCGGCGAGCGTATCAATTTGTTTTGTAAAAATGTTCGCAAGAACACGATGGTGCTTATGGATTGAAAATTCGTGGGTGGAAATTCTCAGAAGTACCTGAATTTCTTCATTATTTGCCCGATGTGATCAACTGGAAAATATACTGGGGAGGCAGTATCAGTGAAGCTCTCGGCTGGCTCGCAATATTTGATGCGTCCTGTCTCTAGACGCTTATCACAAAACAAAAAAAAAAAAAAGAGATTGATCGCGATACTTTACGCATTTTATTGTGTATCAAAATTATATTGGTACGGATAAATATGTGAAAAATAGTAGATTGTTTTATTAGGATCAAAAGTGACACTTTGTTTGACAAGCGAATTTTTCATTTGCGAGGCGGAGCGTTTAGCGAAGCCGAGCAGAAGCAAAATTTGCGAGTGAAAAAAGTCACTTTTGATCCGAATGAAACATATGCTATTTTTTCTGCAACCGAAAGAATTAACTCAGATAAACATAACATAAATATGTGAAGCAACCAACAATGCGATGTATGCAATGCAACAAATAATCCGTGATGTGGTGAGAATATTCTACCTGCATTAACAGATCAGGTTTATTCAATCTTCAAGGTTGTTTGATTTGTAGTTTCAATAAAA